TTAAATGTTTTTATATGCTACTCTATTTGCGCATAAAATACATGATCTGATATTTTAATATAAACTCCTACATATTATTGTAATATAAAATAAAGATAATAACATTATGAGATAGCAAAGAAGATAGCAAAATCTACATTTGTAACTGAAATAAGTTTACTTTCAATTGTGCCAAAGTTGAATACTAAATCCGTCAAAATTTTTGGTGTAATTACCACTATCTACAATGTATAAGGTAATTACCACGTAATAATCCAATGAACAATCGTGGATATACTATACCTCTATTATATTGCAACCACTAATTGATTATTTGCGGCATATACTAGGTTTCCCAACAATATTGGACTATTCGAAATGTGGATAAATGTTAGCAATTATACTCGGGAAATTTTATATCATCTTTCGAGTTGAACAAAGTAATAATAATAAAAAATAGAGTTCACTTCCCAAGACGCAGTACTAAAATTTTGTAAATTATTGAATAAACTATTAATTTAATTTATTTTTATGGTAAAAAACAAAAGAGCTCTATATATTTATATAAAATAATGTAACTATTTATAACATTATATTTTATATCATTATATAATATCATTATGATAATCATTATAATATATACAGTTATATAATTATAATTAATTTCTAATTAATTAGAATATATCTTTATATAATGGTAAGTAATAAAGTAAATAGTTTTGCAAGAAATTATTTTATAGATTTAAAAAAGTTTACATGTGCATATTATAAAATAGAAAATTAAATCGATAGTCCTGATAATTGTGCATAGAAAGTTGAGAAGTTAAAAAAACATTCTTGAATCAAATTTTTCATATGGTTTGTTTTATTATAATTTTCTTTTACTTTGTGTAAACCTTTCTATTTATTTATCATCCAATAAAAACCATAGAGTGAAAATATTCTCATTCGGTGTGATAACACAAAATTCTATGTACTCCAAAAAATTAAAAAAAGCCTGTGAATAAATGAACAATCAATTGACATAAGGCTTCAATGATACGAGTAGAAGATTTATGACTTAGACAAGATGCAAAAGAATTAATAAGTTGGCTGTATCATTTTCTCAGTTATTTATATACGGCAAGATGTTTTACATATTGAACAATTGTTAAAGTTGAAGCCAACAGGTATAATTTATATCACTGAAAAATTTTATTTATTTAGAATACCATCAATTAAGAAATTTCATACAGTTTATTAAAAAAAGATTATTTCATTTGATAAAATAAGTGTACGTGACCAAGTAGACTTCTTTTTATAAATGAAAGTCAAACAAGGTGGAATAAGAAAAATTTGTTAATAGCATCTGTCGGATATAGATATTTAATAATAATCTTTAAGGATAATTTTTTAAGGGTAATTTAAATGTTTGTCTGTTTCGTTATTTTAATTTTTCCCGAATTTCTTGTAACAATTGCACAAAGTTGTGGAAAGTTATATATTAAATAAATAAATTTTATTGTTTATTCAATTTGTTTTTGGATAAAAATTTAAATACTGTTTATTTATTCGTACGTATATACAAACCAGAATTTCTTTAATACGTATTAAATAGTGAATGACGATAAAGTCATTTACAGTATTATAATTATTTATTATATCATTCTCAGAGTTATACCTATAGTACACATTCAACTGTCGTAAAAATCTAATCAAAATAAAATAAGTCATATCTAATTCACGTTTGCCTGTATAATGGGCTACTTATAAATAATTTTTATGAAAATATCTGTTTCACTTAATTTTAAAATATTCGAGCGATGCGATGCACGTTTCCAAAGCTGTAATACATAATCTTTATCATTTATCTAAGAACGCATGTAACAGTTTGTTGTATTCTAGATTATACTCACCTTAGTAATGTAGGCATCTTTTATCAGCGAAACGTTCGAGCAAAAGCAGGGCGCAGCAATTTGGACACGGAATAACACTGCGGTAAATGGAATAAGGCTGCAAGAAGGCAATCTACGCTTCTCCTGGCAATATCGCCGCCAACAATTCTGCTATTAAATCGTCTTAATCTTCTAACATGCGTTAAATCGCATTTTTGTTTCCCATTCGACTTCCGCCAATTGCATTTGTGTTCAATCTTTTTGGAACCGATATTATAAATCGATAATCGTTTCACATACAAAATTCGAGATTTCACAAAGCTATCTTGGTAAATATAAATTATCTTATATAGAATGTCCCTTATCAAAAAAATATCAGAGAAAGTAAACTTTGTTTGCAACGTACCATTGTAATATTTCAATAATTCACTGAACTATTGTTCTATTGTTCCTGTTTGAGTTTGTTTATTCGTGGATTGTCCGTGGAATTAACCTAAATTACATAAATTATTTTTATATTATTATCCCGTATTTCTTTAGATAATTTAAATAATTCAAAGTTCATTAACGATTTTCATTGGTTCTTATAATAATTATATTAACATTAATGGTTTTCAAAATCTGTATTTCTCATTTATCAATTTTTCTAGCACTTCCAAATATTTATTTATGCATTATTTATGTAAAAATGTTTTATTTTGATGTGTTAAATTAAATGAGTTTTAATATAATATAATTGATTGGTACGAGATTGCAAGAAGGAAACGTTTGCATAAATTAATGCCTTCTGTTAGTTCCCATCTGGCATTATCCTAGAATTCATTATCGTGACATTTCTACTATATTTAATTATAACAATTGCTTCCTGCAAATATGTAATTAACCAACGAATTACGATCACGTATTTGTCTTCGATTGAAATTTAGTCGACAGTATATCGAATGACTTCACGAGTAGTTCTACAACACATTTAGAATCGAAAATCGAATGCTCGACAAATTGAGGACATCCTATAATGTTCTACGAAAGGATGCTTCGAGTGGAACCACGGAATCGAAACTACACGGTACCTCTGTAAACATTGATTACACCGAAAATTGGTTCAACCAAATGTTTTATAGTTCCTCTAAATCTATACGACGCTTTGTTAAATTTGATTTATTCCCAGTGAAATGGTATACACTTCTTGTCAACGGAAATAAATAATTAAAAACAATAATACAAAAAAAACAAAATACATTACACTGTTTACTCTTTTTTCTCTTCTTCTTACGAGTACAATAGACATTAAATAAAAACAATTAAACTTGTATCATTAAACAAATCTTTAATTTTTAACTGCCAACATGATTTCGATAACATTTACAATGTTAAATCAATTTAAAATGAACGTTTAAATTATTATTTACAACATAAGGATTCAAGTCACGTAAACTCTTTCACATATAACGAAACCTGTATTTTCATTATAAAATATTAAATTATAATCACAACCTGTTTTAAATCTTACAATCACTTCCTTTTCTATTCTATTTGTAAAATCGACCTGAAAGCAGCCGTTAAGTGGACGGTCCTTTTAAATAATAGCTTTCAATTAATGAAATCCTTTTACACAACATTCCCCGGCATCCATAATGCAATTACCGCGCATAAATAATACTCGTTGGAATAATAAAACACAATTGGTTCTTGAATAAAAACAAGATGTTTCTTTTATTCCAGGTTTTATATCACAGGTACTCATCGAATGTTTATCCACTGTATCGTTCATTTTATTTCGATCGGCGCAGCAAGTTCTCAAGTTCTATTGTGTATAATTGAATCCTACTTATTATTAATACTACCTGAAACGGGAACTAGATTTCAACTGCACGGAACTTGTTTACGATTTAATTTAAAAGTTGGAATGAAGAAAGGGTTCGCGTTTTTTACAACGGCTATTGGAAAATATGGAATAAACTGAGCTGTTAACGACGCACTGTAGCTCTTCGTTTCGGGTTGGTACAACTAACATCTTTAGAACTTGCAGGCTGTCTTTTAGCGCGCACGAACTCTTAATTGTTCCACGAGTTAGTTCGAACAAAGCGTGCAAAATATGTGCATAAAACTACAAGAAAGAAAGTGTGGGATAGAGGTACGATGCTTAGAGGAAAGAGTTTCTTCTATCGTATTCACCGTCGCACTAGTATTTATAACGATTCTTCAGAATGTGTACTTTAACATTGTAACTACTGAATCATTGGAATGATTTATTTATCATGAAAATTGAAAAATTACACTTCCAAATTTTAAAAAATTACAAATTGTTCTTATAAAGGTATCTGCACGGTTACACGAATTTGTTTTACGATTTCTTGCAAAGACATCTTGATAATTTTAATAATTCTGAAATAAATGTTTTGAAATAATTTTGACTTTATCTTGAGCTGTCTGGTAGTTCCAGTGTTAAAATAAAGATTGTTATTTGACAGATGCAACATATTGATTGGAAGAGTCTTCTAATAAGAGAGTGTGTATAAAAATCAAGAATTTTAAGTCTGTTTATTATTTTGATCGTCTTGAAGTTTATTATATTATATGTTTTAAGCATCTATTAAAAGTATTTGTAAAGTAACATCATTAAAGTAACCTCTTTAATGAAGAATTACAGTTCTTATACACTGCGTTGCATAAAAATAAATCCAACTAACAGTTACAACCTCTATGTTTTTTTTATGAAGATTATGTTAAATTATGTATAATGTATGTGAACACATATTAATGTATAATGCTTTTCTAAAAAACAATTGCATACTTTCCTATATAGAAACAATGAAAAAGCGATTCTACCATTGTTCTGTAATTATAGAAACAAGTTTATAAATATTTTTGCAAATAATGATCTCATTATTGTTTGGAAAGTATAAGCCAAAAATAAAATATTTACTTGGCAGAATTAGTATTCAATTCTGTTATTCTTATACTGAATTCTGAATAATGTTGAAGATAATAGTTACATTACAATTGATTCTTTCAATTGTTTCAATTTCAATTCTTTCAAACTCAGTTGTAACATATAAAACACAAAAATATTCATATAGTTTTATAATTATGAAACGCAGTAGAATTTACTTTGTATCGAATAAAATTATTCTATACTGTATTTCAATAAAAAAACACGTGTTTTATAGACTTTTTTTAATAATTACACCGTCTACAATAAATTTAAAAACAAAGAACACATACCTCTACGTCACGTTCATCACAGTAATGTTTATCACTGAAAATCTACATGTCATCATTAAACCACGGATCTTTATCCAAATGCAAATTTTTCAACTCTATTTATTTTGTAAAAGTAGACATATGGTACTTCCCATAAAAATTTCAAAACGATAAGGTTAAAGGACAAACTCCGTTACATCTTTCATTTTTATTTACCTCATACTCCTTAAAATTTTTCCTAGGGAATATATCTATTACGTCTTAATCAAAATATTTATCTTATTATATTTTATATATTTACAAGTACAATAAATACATAAAATCCGTAGTATAATGATCACTGTCGAGCGTAGAAAATATTATCTTACATAAAAGATACAAATAAATTCTTTAAAATTTTCGACGAGAAACAAAAAACACCAAACATGCAGAATGTGAAAATAGAGCTAAACCTTCAGAAGGTTTAACACTAAACGTACCGTAAGTTTGTATGTACCAATTCCTACCATAACCAGACAAATAATTGGTTACAAAATGAAACTAAACAAATTAGATGGTAAATTTTCCTTAGTGAAGACAGAAACAATGAGAAAGACAAAAATTGAAACACTGATTAATCCGATGATATAGGAATTGATATAAAATTAAATAAAAGTTAAACGAAAAAAACGTAGAATTATAATACCTTGACCTATAATATCATATCAGCCTCCTAACGAAAATTTTAAAATGAATTTGAGAAATCAGTGTTATTTATATTTTTTAAATATAAATTAAATATTACTTTAATATTATCAACCGTTAACCTTTAAAATAACCTTAGACATTTTTTAATTAAATATAATTTTTTCTTTTTATAATAAATCATTAACAATAAAGTAATTGTATCGATCATAGTTAAGAAATAAATAATAGAGCAAAGCGTTAAATCATATTTTGAAACCAATCATTTAATCCATCGCGATATGATTAGTAGTAACAAACTAAGGAAATTTGCGTTTAGTTTTGATGTTCGTAAATTTATCTGTAAAAACGTCAAGTTTATATAAATGTCATCGAAGCACCATAAACTCCAATTAACACTAGAACTACCACTTAACGGTAGATTTTTTTGTCTAGCAATGATTGATACCTTAAAAGCATTGAATATTCGAAATGATCTTGAAAATAACTAGTTTCAATTAAATATTATAACAAATACCCAAAGAAACGGAAAACAATCTATTATTACAATTTTTATAGGGATTAGATAACTATTGTATTAAATGCTCGGTAGTTCTAGTGTTAAATAAATTTTCTAAAATACTCCATCGTAAAAACTAATTCCTTCATTTAACCTCAGAAATTGTATCACTCGCAGAATACGACTAATGTAGCAGTCAGTTTGCTAGATTAGGATCAGCTTTCGAAACGAGATGACTAGAATGGTGAAGCATAAAGAGAAACAAGTTACAAAGTGTCCGGTAAGTTCGGTTGGTCCCCAGACGTCCCCACCACCGTGATGGACGCCGTCGATGGGGTGTCATCGCCGTTATTCCTTTCCATGGCTGGCCCCCACGTCTTCATAGGTCGGAACAAACTGCGATCCCTCTGCGGACAATTAAAATAAAAGTCAAATTCTTTTAACAAAAGAAAAGGCTGGATCGAGTCCCTTCAAACAATTCAGCCTCAACTTTCCAGACTTGACGCTTTAACCTGTTAACTGTGGAATTTAGTTTGAAAAATCTCTCGTTTCGCGGGCAATAAGATAAAAAAATGAAGTGTGTACTCGTCAAACACAGGACAAATGTACCTAGAATATATTTGAATGAAAAACCAAAGCGAAACAAAGAAGAATTACATGCTAATCTGAAAAAATAAAGAATTCATCGTTGAAAGAAGTAGTATCATTTCAAGATCTAAGTGACGTGTATATACGTCAAACGCAGTTACCTTTTTAAGAGAGGGCACCACCTAGAAACGTCCCAAATATAGGTAAATCTTAAGAATATTTTTGTTAATAGCTATTAAGTGAAATTTTTTTATTTTTTCTGGGTATATAACTGTCACCTTCTGCTTTATATTTATATTTTTACTAAGCCAAAACATTTCAAAATGGCGAAGTTATTCGCCCGCTTCGCAATCCCTTTTCGTAAAGCAGCCATTGCTAGATGACTCGATTACAAAGGACTGAAACAACCGAAGACAACAATTTTTGTAGATTTTTGAACAGGAATATATTATCTAAAATGTAGCATACGGATTTTTCGAAGTTTTCATTATTATGGAAATGTTAAGCATTTGACGCGCAAAAACCTGTTTTTACCCCAAAAAATTAGCTTCAAATATTTATAAAAAATTAAGTAATTGAATCCACAAACAAAAAAGGGGTTCCGAAGCTAGCGAATAACTGTGCTATTTTCTAATATTTTGTCTTAGAAAAAATATAAATATAAAGCAGAAGGTGACAGTTATACAGCCAGAAAAAATCAGAAGTGTTCAAATGAAAATATTTAACACTAATCAGTAATTTTCATACTTTTATACGTAAAGGTTAAATTCACGTCCATACTTAAAGGTTAAGTCATGAAGAGATAAGATTTTCGAAAGTCCATTTTGCTAGTCGAGGGTTAACGGGGTGCAAAAATTAAAACTTGTATTAGATACAAGGAAAGCCTCCAAAAAGAATAACCCACTATTAAGATCGTCGAGATTGCAGAAAGTGATAATTTTGATTCTTGGCAGCAGGGGACCGTCTTAAAAAAATATCCTGATCTCGAACGAGTTAATTCGATTTGCGATAATATATTAAAAATTTGTTATTTTAGGATAAAAGATTAGAATCCTTTAATATAAACTAAATAATTAAACAATGTAAAAATTGTAAAAAATAATAATGATCATCAATTCAGATTCTGAATGGACCTAAGCATGGTACAGCAAGGATTAAATATGGTTAGAGTCAAGGTCAAGCTACAGATAGTGTTAAACATTGATGATGAAATAAATATATTAATATAAAAATATGACAACTTATTCCAAAAATGGATACCGTACTGTCTTATATAAATAGATCTTTCATTGGCATGGCAAATCGTTGAGACCAATGAAAGATTCCACGAATTTTGCTTAGAATGCCGTACGTAAATTGTTTACGATCGCTAAGGAGAATATTAGAGGTATTCGAATACTGAAACAGATTTGATCCTTAAATGCACTACGGTTGTGGAATAATTCATGAAATGTCTGCCCTGTCTTATAAATGCGCGCTACGATTGGACGATAGAAATCATGGCGCCTGCTACGGTCCTCGACTTATCTAAACACTTGAAATATTATTGGGAAGGTAGAAACACGTACACTAATAAGAAATAATTAGGACCAAAAATGCGTGGATTTTTTCATATGTCACGGTACTTCTAAATTATGTTTTAAAGTGAGAATTTAAAGATTAACTATTATCTTTATCTTTTAGGGTATTATTTTTTTATTGGATACTGTGTGCTATGTATATGTATTTCACAGTAGCTCATTTGATGGTCTTACCTAGACGAATCAATTTTAAAAATTTCGTTTAAGACGTAAAATTATTACTCCTTAATGTAGTTGAATATGTAAGGAATAAGGTATCAATAGCTTTTTTCATTAATACACTCTTAAAATATACGTGTTTTAAAAAATTGTACAAATTTTTCTCCATAATGAAAGTTCTTCAAATAAATATATACTAAATTTTTGATAATACTTCATCCTTGTATTATTTATCTTCCAATAAATATTTAAATTTAAGCATGTTTTATAATTAACAACATTTCTAACAATTGAAAAAATATTATTCGTCATTTATCCTGTTTTCATTTTTTAGAGTGTTTTTCTTTACTACGATGTTAATATTTATTCATTTATTATATATTGCGTAATCGATTGTTATCATATATTATTTATTGTACTATTATTATTTATTATGCTATGTAATGTAACTCATACTATATAAATAAGTAAACAATGTTTTACATAAGTATTACAATTAAGAATATTTAGTATTTACTCATTTATTATATGCTTGATAATTGATTATTATTTTATATTACTATGCAATATTATATTACCATAATTTGTTGGAAATATTCCATATGTAAAGATTCTTAATTTTGATCAGCTAAGTGGACTAAATGGGCTATTGTGTGTTTTCTGTAGATTTCGATGTGCTCTTTACTATAAGATAAGATTAATTAGTGAAGATTAGAAAATTCATACTTTATAAAAAGTATGGTAAACTTACTTAGGTTAGTTACTTACTTACTAGGTACTGGAAACAGAACATTAAAACAGTAGATGAGATGAAAGAAATTATGTAAATGTGAGCATCAAACAACACGTATTTGAAGTTATTTTTTATATTAATATCAACTATCGCTTCAGACTTCTAGCCTCGAAAATTTATTATGCCACGGTGAACGTTTTAACGGAAATAAGTTTACGAAGAATTTTAAGCGAAGAAAATTTCGTACGGGTGGAAATTGGTTAACCGAGTTTGGAGTTGGCGCAAAACTTTTAAACTATTAATACAAGGGTGGAAGGAAAAAAAATCTGTCGAATGAGGTCGGTCCTTTCATTAAATTATTTTGTCGTTTCAAAAGTGTCGGTTACGTCGTTTAAATTATTTTTTGTATATATTTACGTACTGAATTTTCTTTTATTTTAAGTACTGAAAAAGTATTTATAATACTTGTCAATAATAATTGTTCAATGATGTATAATAATAAGTACTTATTATTGAAATTAAGAATGCAAAAGTAATTTTCGTTAAGAATAATAATATAAAAAGAAGAAGAAGAAAATATATTTACCATTCCATATACATTTTTTAACATATATAGTTCTAAACAATTTTCCTATATACATTTAATTACGAGAAATATTTATGTAGTCGCTTTACAGTTTACTCTGTATATTAAGACAACGTAGGAAACAAGAACAAACAAGATACACACGAGTTCATAGCCAAACCAGGTAAGTACAAAGTTTAATAAAGTTACGTTAGATAGACACAATAGTTGCTAAACTACTTCGGCTCCATATATATTGTACTAAAAACTAATAATAACCGTTGTGTTTATAGTAAATAAGAATAAGAATCATGCATACGAAATATATTCAAATTAATACTGCAACGTGACTATTGAAAATATTATAAGATATTTCAATTTAACTACATTTAAGTGGAGAAAGGGGTGATAATAAGACCTCTTAGTTTTATATTTCATTCTAAAGTTTAATTCCTAAATTAAAGTAGATGAAATTTAATTGGAAACTATCATATATTTGCATCTAATCCAATGAAAGAGCTGACTTTTAATTACTCACAGTATCATATAGAAAAATAAGACACAGATTATTGAAATACCTATTATAAAAATGAATCTATCAGCATATTAATAGAAAATTGCAGGTCAAAATGACATATATTTTCAAGTTCAATTACTAACTGTTAATGAAATAGATCACAATTTAATTAGTTATAATGGAATAAACAACACAATATTGACAAATAATTAAGAAATCTTGTTCAATGTCAATTATTAAAAAATCTTATGAACTGCCAACTTTGAGAATACCCTGAATACTCAACAAATAATATTTAATCCTTTACAAACCAAATCTTGTTTAGATCTTTCTTCCAATAATTCTCCGTCTTGCCAGATACAGTTGAAAATTTTCGTCACGATTCTGACACGATATTGTAGGTCAAAGGGTTAAAATGACGCGTATACACAACAAACGCAGTCAACTTGTTAAATCATCTATTATATTATACAAGTACTAGTACACCAGGATAATCCATAATAATACAATCTTCGAATATTGTCAGAACTATTGATGACCCTTCACAAAAAGGAAAACCGCGGTAAAATCGTCTACTCCAGGATGATAAAAACAGAACAAAATTCTCCAATGTTAGCACTTGCAGTGTCTTCCACAAAAACAGTTCGACTGTTCCGCGCAATGTGACTGGAGACATCGGAGTGAGTTGCGATTCAAGAACAAAAGAAACGTAATCAGTAACTTTAACATCGATACAAAAGAATCACGGTTTCGAAAAGCGAGAGGTTGGTCCGGCGTTACTTTCTTCACGGTGGTTGTGTCCCATTTCGCTTGGCGGGTCATATCTCCGCGAACCGCACAAGTAGTTCGGAACTGTGCAGGGAATCGAAAACAGGAGGGAAAGAGATAAGAGTAATAGTAAATTTATCGGGTAACACAAAGCGGAAGTGGTCAAGAAGAGGGGGGACGGTGGGGCAGAAAGTACGGCAGAAATAGGTTCGATCCGAACGATGGAGCGCGGACGAAACTTTTCGTTTCAAAGTACGATTACCTACGTACCGTGGAAAAACTTGTATTAAGACGTTCGAAGTTCGCAAGATTTCACGGCAAGGGGGGCAACTTTTAAAGCGGTGCCCACCGCCCGGGGGCAACCGTCACTGGACGGTGTGCGGCTTTTAAAAAAATTTGCAATTCGTCCATCATTGAAACATTATAGTAATATAAAGAAACTTCCCGCAACAGTACAGTGTTTATGTAATTCTTCCATAAAAAATTAGAACAACAGTATTTCTTTTATTCAAAATAGAAGTTTTACTATTGTATTAATATTATGGATCAGTATTTTAGTTGCGAATATATTTTCGTATCATGGCTTGGATATATCAGCATACTTTGAACTTTTGGTTTCATATAGGAAAACTTTAGGAATTTTTTTGTTAATAACTATTAAGTAAAAATTCCTGGCTTTTTCTGGGTATAACTGTGACCTTCTGTTTTATGTTTATACTTTTTCTAAGCCAAAGTTGTATTTTACGCTATATTTTTTCTAAGTAGAGAACTGATTGAAAATAATAGATTATGGAGGGAAAACAAGTTTTTCAAATGTTACTAGTTACCATTTCAATACTATCAGTGTGTATACAGAGAATTTAACTAGATGTAGAAGGCATTTTAAGGTAGGATTGAAAAGAAGTACAAATACTGGAACATTACTAACAAAAAGTGAAAAAGAATTTTTAAATCTTCCTTTTGCAAAAAAGAAAGAAGAAATGGGAAATATAAATTGCGATACAACAAATATGAATTGGTTTCTTATTGAATTGCTATAATACATATAATTCAAAGCAATACGAATATCAAAAGTAATAAAGACACTATTTCACCTTTGTTTTCAAGTTATTAACCATTGAAAACTGCCAATAACGACTGATTGTGAATCTGTTCTCTGTTTCTGTCTCTGATACGGTACGTCACTGTCCAAGCTAACACTGACCTATTTCACGTGCACTGTTACCCGTGAGCCATTATAATTCAGAGAGATTTGGAATTGTTAATAACCGAAAATGGCAAATTTTAATAACGAAAACTATCGAAAACCAAATAGCAATTTTATTCTTGATTTTCGTCTTACGATTATGTATTGTAGTTTGTTTTGTAGAATTTCCGTTTTAAAAAAATTTACTATGCAGGATTGATAATATTGGCATTATACCACTGTATAAATTTATATTAGAAAGTTTTAATTTATAATTAACATAAGAGTCACATAATGTGAAACAGCACATAGCAAAAACCTATATACTTGCTACAATAAAAATACTTTTCTGACATCAAAAACGCACACAACAGATTAAAAAATTTCTAATATGTATGTACGCTGCTGCACATAAGTATTTGGTCAGTTTACATGATCCTCTTAAAATGCTACACCTCACATAAGGAAAATGAACTTAATACTATGGATATTATTTAAAGTTGTAAGATGTAACATCATACTTAGAAACTTAATAACTCTTTTCAGTCTCATTTTTTAAATATTTAATTTAGAAAGTTTGTTGAATATAATGAAATATCGTAACTATGAAGATCATCTCCAAGACAAATGATGGAAACGAACATGTTAACAATAACCGAACCAGGAACTAATCAAACGGCCAGTTTTAAAATTCTGCGTTTTCTTTCGTTCATTTAACACTAAAACTATCCAACAGTTGAATTAACTTTTTAAAACTCCTCTATACAATCTCAAAGAGTGCATCTACTGAAACTTTAATTGATTTACAATTCACTTACCGCAATGCTAAATCAATTTCTTTAATAATTTCTCAAAGAGATAACTATTATCTTTTTAATAATTGCAAAAAGAAGACATCAGAAATGAGTCATTTTAAGCCGTACTTCTTTTTAATAATTGCAGAAAGATGAAATCAGAAATGAGTCATTTTAACCCATTTAGCAGTTTTAGTGTTAACTTTATATAAATTATTGTCTAACTAATCAGTTTTTCAATCTTCATTTTCCCTTTTGCCTCTCTATCCACTAAAAAAGGTATCATCTAACTTGTTTACCTTTGTTTTGCATCCATGTGACTGGTTACGGTAAGAAAAGTGCTGGTATGGTTAATGTTAATATTTTATAATACATCGTAATACACTAAGCCTTAAACTATTTCACAAATAAAACTAATCAAATGCATATGCACGGTAATGAAATAACAGATCACAAAAAAAATTCAAAATACAGTAATATTTGCTTAAATTCCATTATTTCGGATTGATAACAAATTTCAATTGCAGTAATTTTAACCTTACCTCCTTAAATGTAGTGCCAGTGAATTCCTGAGATTGCTGTGATTAAAATGAATCCAAACACGATGTAAATCTATACTATTTTTACCGACTTAATGTAATTAACGAAATTAAAGGTTCTTTTCACTGTGTCTGTCTCCCTTCCCCTCTTATATTCATTTTCTGTCCCTGTCGATTGGAATCGCGTTACACTGAGCTCGAAACAGTGAGTAATGGGGGAGGAGTAGGGTTGGTGCAGTGGAATTAAGCCGAACAGATTTCTCTGGGATTTAAGCGAGCATCACTGTACTACTGTGAAAACCATGTCCAGTCCAGAAGAACCGGCCAAGACGTCTTCAAGGAAACTCGGTCACCAATGAGAATCGTTGTGAACTGTAAAGATTACGCGGCGACCCGTTTTAACTGAAAACGTATCGCGAAATCTGTGGGTAATTTGCATAATAATCTCTAGTTTGTCGAGCATTATTCTAGCTGATATCTCGATTTAGCTCATATCCCGCGCACTTCTCCCATAAACTCAGTGATTTGATGGCGCGCAATCGCCAGTAATCGTTCGAGCCCGAATTAATGCGCTTATTCTGTGTAACGATAGAATTCCACAGAGATTTAGTGGCGTCATTATTAGCGTCGTGACAAACTTACCGGTCCTTTCCACAGCCGCTGGATGAAAAAGAATGGCAACGGGGCGATGGTCGACAGGCCGATCAGTATTCCAATCGCGTTCGCCCAGTCAGGGAATATGTACGTGCCATAATAACCGAACTCGTACGTACATATTTGATACACGAACACCCCCTGCGGAGAAAAAGAAAACTCAAAGAACAGGTTGCCCGTTATTTCGCCCGCGAATTCCTCGGGAGAGCAGTGATCTTCCGGTACACCGACCAATTAGGAATTTGATATTTTTAGCCGGAAGAAACACCGTCCCGTTTTCCCCAGGGCGCGATTGTATTAGGTGTAATAAAAAGTTCTTTACGGCGAGCTTCGGTTGACTAAATGAATTCGTTTCGTAGAAGCTACCGAATACCTATTACGATGGTATTGCTTGGCTCTTCGAAACATGGCGGAATGCCATAGATACTAATAGCGTTTACTTTAATGATTAGTGCTAGAACTACCGAGCATTTAATACGATTGATATGTAATCTCTATAAAAATTGTAACAATAGATTATGTTCAGTTTATTCATACATTCATTGTAGTATTCAAATGAAACTATTTATTTTCAAAATCATTTCGAATATTCAATGCTTTTAAAGTGTTAATAATTGCGAAACATAAAATCGAAACCAGACATTTTGACTGGTACGGTAGTTCTAGTGTTAAGTGTTTGCACGTTATTTTAATAATAGAATTACTGTATATACAAAAATGACGGGTTTCAGTTTTTTTTCGTAATTGTTGATATCTTGAAAATGTTAAATGTTTGAAATAATTTTAGAAATAAATAGTTTCACTTGAATACTATAATGGACACGGGAAGAAACCGGAAGAATATATTGCCACAATTTTTATAAGTATTATATATTAATTATATTAAAAGCTTGGTAGGTCTGGTGTCAAACAAAACTTTGATTTTACTGAAAAATCAGAGAGTACATTTTACTATACGTAATAACTTAACAATTAATTGAGATAGATAAAAATACTCGTAATTTCTAAGTTACCAATCATAACAATTATCAATTTCTTCATTATTTATATTAGACATTAGTAACTTTTATTAAATATCGTTAAAAAATATTCATAAATACGACAGTTATAACAGAATTCATAGTTCACCTCCTCTTTCTGCAAATTTACAAAATATTGTGAGCCATCCACTAAAATTCTCTCACTTAACCGGTTATGTTAAATGAAAAAAATTTAGCAAAAATTATCCCCTTCGCTAAGTTGTCGGTATCAGTAACAACCGGCTGAAATTAATAAAATTAACGTAACACTTAAATAATTTTGTTTACTTTTTCGTTCTCTTAACAATCGTATATTACCTATATTTACACCTTTTGCGGACAAAATTTTGTTTAATGTTTAGAATGATTTTCCTATGAAATAAATATTTAATATCCCTAACTACTTAAATAATAATAGCGTAAGTATATTTAGATTTTATTACTCGATTAGAAATAGGAAGAATAATAAAAGAGTATTTTTTTAATGTATTGAATCATCCAGCTTCCGTGTACCTTCAATTAGTAAACATATATATAGGAAATGATAGAATAACAATTATTCTTTACCTGTACTTCTTAAAAATTATTCCATTACCATTATTACTTTTGACTATTCGGTGATCTAAATATTGGTAAATATTCTTCTCCCTATTAATAATTTTGGCATCAATAATTGCTTAATAATAAAACCAATAAAAATGCCAATTGATACAATAAACTTATTTCAAACAACAGTTTAATCATCTACAAAACCGTTCACACGACTTAAACAAAAAAATCAACAAAACTTATGTGGCGGCCGAAAAGCTGCCTTACGCCACTGGATTTCCTCGCTATTCTTTTCCCGTTAACGCTGTCCTTCCGCGCGAGTCTGTTTCGTGTCATCGCACATTTGGCGACCAGACCCGCGCGGGCCCTCGAATTTTCCGAAGGTTTCCCAGGCCTCGCACGGAACTGCCCAGTTCGAGGGGCAGGCCCTTGCAGGTCTGGAAACTTTCACCGTTCTTACGACACTCTTGTTTACTTGTCTGTTCACCATCATCCTTCTTCTTCTTCTCTGTCTTTTGGATCTTTTCTCTCTTCCTCGTTTTTCTTCTCTGTCTTTTGAATCGTTTCTCTCTTTCTCGTTTTTCTCCTACTCTCCTATCTTTCTGTCCTTCTTTAGAGGAATATATATTTTCCGGGGAGAGTTTAGGAGCTCTCACTTTTTCTTCACGCGCGTTCGACGTCACCACGAACCTCCGCGACACCGACCTTTGGCAAACTGTGTTGAGGGCCGTACTTCACCAATCGTCTTCGGTTTAACATCTCCGAATCCTCCACACTTACTAATCGAAAACTATAGCTTAAACTAAACCTCATTAAAATGAAGAACCATAAAAACCTGTAACAATCTTACAGAATAGACCAATATAATTTATAATTTTCTCATTTCATCCTCCATCACAAATCTTGATTATTAGAATCGATTCTAACCCATTATTAACGGTATAATCAAAATCCTGTCGCCATATCTCATACACGTTCGCGTTATAAAATCTTTCCGTCTCGCTCGAATAACTATGCTCGGTATCGTTTATTTTCCGCGCTGATAAAAGGAAACAATGAATGCGCGCGGGCGCGCGCGCGCATCAGCCAATTGAAACGTTATCGAGAATTTCCTTGTCAGACTTTCCGAGGTGAAAAGCCTCGGACCGCAGGCATTGTGTACAATTGTTTATGAAAATTGGATGACCGATGACCGCAACACGCGCAGAGACTTATCGGAAAACGAACGGCGATAACTCAACGGAGATCGCGCTCGATTGGCCGCGAAACAAAGCTCGGCCGCGTAGTTTCCGTTATTTTTCCGAGCGGCCGGCAAAAAGCTCGAACGAGGCCCATTCTTTTCCCGACGATCAATTTGATTCGTGCGTGGGACAGAAATTATGTTATCGATTCGATCGGTTGTTTTAAATCAGTCCGCGCGGCCCATAGACGCGGACCGTAATCGACGAGAGGAGTAGCCGACCGATTGAGTGGCGCGATCATTTATTTCGGTACGACTCCCGTGATCGCTAAAGTGGAACGTGACAAGGGTTTGAGCAACGCACCCCTCCCAAAAGGGAATAAAAAGAGCCCTGGATGAAAAGGATACAGCTACGCCTGTATTTCAACTCGTTTCTCCTTTTCTAGTTATTATTGACCGCTGTCACGTGAACTGGACGTAATCAAGTTAATGTTTATAAGATTGATAGATACTTTTGCCTGTCATATGCACATGAGGGACAGCTTAAGGAATTTTTCATGCTAACAGAAATTGTTGTGTTTAGCTCTTTGAGTGGTAAATATTTACAGCTAAAATGTTCAGTGTGGACAGAGTACTTTTTTGTTTAGTTTGTTGTCTGAAGATTAATAAACCATGTTAACCTGTTAACTGTGGAATTTGGTTTAAGAAATCTCTCATCGTGCTCAAAATAAAATCGAATTAATGAATTGTGCACTAATCAAACACAGAGCAAATGCCGAAATAGTATATTCTAATAAAAAACTACAGCGAAACGAAGGACAATTGTATGTTTGTATGGAAAAATAGGTAATTCATCGTTGAAAGAATTAACTGGTTAATTCATGCAATGCGTGATTAAGTTGTAATTATAATTCTTTAATTTTACCAGATTGAGCAATGATAAAAAACGTGTATATTAATATCGTACACTTATAGTTGTCTTATAGCACTCAACGTGTTAAATATTATTGGTTATGTTCAATAGATTAATTAGTTTGAAAATTGTAAGGATAACAATGTGGTAGCAGTGGAAGGAAAGGTAAAATGTATCGTTTGGAAATATATACAGTAAACGTTGGCTAATTGCAACACTCAACGGGACCGGAAGATTGTAATTATGAACGGATAGTATCGAATCTGCTCCAAGAAACGAACATTTTGCGCATGGCGGATGTAGAAAAGGACAACGCGAGTGAAGGAAAAAGAAAGACTGAGAGTCGAAGTGTTCGGCAACATTAAAGGCTTGTGATGAGCTGGAGATCTTTAATTAAAAAATCAAACTTAATAAGAAAACTTAATATAAATCATAAATTAATAATAAAAACATCTAATTATATTTTCATTTGTTTATTTCAAAAAATAAATAGTTGACTTTCTTGAAAAAACTTATTTGTATGGTTATTTACTTTCTTTTTCTTTAATACTTTTCCATTGGTCTATCGAAATGTAGAAGTATTATAAAAAACTTTGTGAACAAACTTAAAAATACTTAAAGACACTCTAAAAGAGGATTAAAACGTTAATTAATTAGTAAACATTTTCCTTGATAAGACAATATTAAATGCTGTACAAAACTGTCAAAGAATAAATTACTGGAATAATCATAATTCTATACATAATCATAATGTTCAAAATAAAGTGGCAATCAATAATAATAATTCAAAATAAATTACAAATATTTATGTGTTATTTTCAAGACAGAAAATTGTGTTGCAACTTACTGAATTCACAAAAATCTCAGAAATATTTTCATATAATATATCTAATGGAATGTTATAAAAATATTAAAGGAAACGTTTTTTTTCATTTGAAAAGGTAAAAATATTTCAGGCAATAAAGTTACGCGTGACGCATCCTCTAAAAAATCATAAAAAAAGGTGAAAAGAATACGAGGAGCAGTTGTGCCTCATTAAAGCGATCATCCCCTCAAGCGAGTGTCATTCCGAGCACGCATGAGTACTAAGGATACGCACGTCGATGTAGTTTCGCTTTTACAATTGTGACGACAGAAAAAAAATACAGAAGTATTACGTTCAAGCTTCATCTAAGTGTTACACATGATTATAAAAATAATTTGAAGTTAGGTTAATTTATTCATAATAATTTCATTTGTGTCTTTTTATCTACGATTCTAATTTATTATATAATACTGTGAATATTTATAATGAAGACAACAATATTATTAATATTAATTTAAGAACGCCTTTTAACATATTAAATAAAACTATAAAACACATCCATGGTGTTTTTTAATGTAAAAACATAATTATGATCAAAGGTAAAAATGAAAGGAGTACCATTTATTTCTGCAAGGTTTCTAAATCAAGACCGAATGTTTACCCATGTACTTTTTT